GACGCCACCAGTTCCGGTGGATACTCGAAATCGTCGTCCAGCGTGATGATCAGTGTAGACGCATTGTGCTCCAGTCGTAAAGTTCCCAGCAGTTTCGTGGCCGGACCGTCATCCACACAGCGATTCACCTTAACAAGCGGTGTGAGACCCACGAGTTCGGACGGGATCTCTGTCTCGTCGTATGAGCGCTCTGGATGTCGCTTCATGGGGCCTTCAGGAATATTGATGTAGATCTGGTCTGGTACAAGGCTCTGCTTCGTGAGCGAGCGGACGCTGTCCATGACCTTGTCCAGCCGGCTAGGCGTCGTCGTGAGCGATACTACAACACGGAACGGAGGGCGCCAAGGCGGCGATGTAGGTGGCAAGTCATCGGCTGCGCGGCCATCGTAGGCCGTGGTGAAGAGAGCTGTAGCTGCAGGAGAGATGCTGCCGTAGCGCACAAGCAGCTGTGTGTATCCCCAACAGACGCAGATGGCGACGCCCACGAGCAGCGTACGAAGCAGCGTGACCTGACGGAGCCATGAGTGCGGATTCTTGCTGTGGCGCGGCAGCACCGGCTGCCGCATGAACACGCTCCACTCGCGAGCCATTCGAACCAGCATCGACGGAAAAACTCGAACAATGGCAAGAAACCGATGAGAAATGGATGCACTCGGTGTGTGACACTATTTTTTTGTGTCACTTACACACCGTCGGATCGCAATCATCCTGCCTTCGAGCATGTTGGTGTCTGCCACATAATATTTAATATAGTAGGGAAAGGCAAAAAATTAATCAAGGAGTGAGTGTTTTGTCTTATTTTTTGAAAGTGTGTGGATGGTTCTGAAGTTTCTCATTCCTTATCTTAGGATATGCGGTACATACCAAAGCCATCCTTTTTATAGATCTACTTCTTACTTCACCATTTTGTGTGCACACACAAATGAAGTAATGAAATGAAGTACCACCTGGATTCTCCACAAATTCAACGCAGAGTATCAGACCAGCGATGAATTTGTTCGGGCGGAAGTCGGCGGCGCCTGCGCGCACGGGGCCCGTGGCGACGGCCGAGACGATCCGCAAGCTGCGTGAGCAACTTGAGTCGCTGGAGAAGCGCGAGCTGCATATCGTCAAGAAGATCGCGCTGCAGCTGCAGGAGGCCAAGCAGAAGAGCGCGGCCAAGGACAAACGCGGCGCCATCTTCGCACTCAAGCGCAAGAAAATGTACGAGGCCGAGGTAGAGAAGTTGCAGGGCGCGCGTATGA